TAAAGTGAGAAGAATGTAATGTGTCATACCTTAATTCACAGTATTTTACAACAATAATCAGCTAAAAATATTTGGCTAAATACAGTTAATGGGAAAAAAATGCCATATGTAACTAAATTAGAGCTTATCCAAGCAGAATTACTGAGACTAAATCAGGTCTAAATGAAACAATATGATTTGAAAATAAACTCCAGATTATAAGTAAGAGACTGAGTACCACCATGTGGTACCTGTACCACAGTTTAGCTTAAGGTTTCCACTCTTTCTGAGTTTGGACCTGACAACACCTTATTCAGGCATGTATACTTCTTGGCCAGTAACTCAGGTAAAATTGCTGACTTGTAAAAGGTCTCAACATTTTGCACAGCTTTAATGAAAAAAGTCATTGTCAGGCAAAATCCTCTGTGTGACAGAGTCGGATGGAGACCACACCATGAAGTCACAGTCAATGTGAAGACCAGCATCACAAACTCCCAGGTCCCGATTTTCCTTCACAGCAGATGCTTCATATGTCATTCTGGCTGTCTTCTCATGTTCACATCCCCATCTGAAGAACATAAATGTTTTAGCAACTACAGCCTTTTAGTTCAGTTCATTTTCTTGTGCAATTACTGCACAATGTAGTTCAAAACAGCACTAGCACAAGCTAGTGCTGTTTTGGATTCACTTAATTAACATTAAAACAACCTGCTTCCTTTTGCACATCATTCTTCCTTGACAACTTTATGATCTACGAAATTCTTAGAAATATATTTTTTATGGACAACTATTGATGCACTTCTGTAATTTATCTTAAATAACCTAACTCTTAGAGTGATCTGGTCTTATTCTTTTGCCCCCAGTGTACATATATTCTTCAGAGTTAAATGATTTACTTTAACTTTATAAATCTGTAGATGGAAGTTTCTGTATTGCCTCACACTTTCTTGATGATATGACAGAACAAACATGATAGGAAGAGGTTTATCAATCAGTTGGGTAAATGTATTTGCAGCAGTGCAGCCATTTCCATGTATGCAGCACTACGATGTAACACGAAAGTATTTGTCAGATCTTACAATTAAGGATCATGTAAAATGATTATTTTTATAACATGAAAAATATTAAGGTCTTACTTTTGCCATGATGAGGAACATTCCTCCTTCTTGAGCGTAGAATCATGTCTCAGTCACCCAGCCAGAAACAAAAAACTGGTAAGCGTCTAGACTTTTGTACGCCTTTAGATCAGCACCGGTGTACGGGGATACTCTGTTAACATTCAGTCCCTTTACCAGAGGAGCGTGAGTTTGGTCCACATAGCCGGTAGTAAGTCGGACCTGTTCCCGGTGAGGGTTGGACTCCGCCAGGGCTGCCTTTGTCACCGGTTCTGTTCATTACCTTATGGACAGAATTTCTAGGCGCAGCCGTGGTGTGGAGTGTGTCGAGTTTGGTGGCAGGAGAATCTCGTCTCTGCTTTTTGCGGATGATGTGGTCCTCCTAGCTTCATCCAGCTCTGACCTTCAGCTCTTGCTGGGTAGGTTCGCGGCCGAGTGTGAAGCGGCTGGGATGAGGATCAGCACCTCCAAATCTGAGGTCATTGTTCTCGACCGGAAAAGGGGGGCTTGCCAACTCCGGGTCGGGAGAAAGGTCCTACCTCAAGTGGAGGAGTTTAAGTATCTCGGGGTCTTGTTCACGAGTGAGGGTAGGAGGGATCGGGAGATCGACAGGCGGATTGGTTCGGCGTCTGCAGTGATGCGGACGCTGAGCCGATCTGTCGTGGTGAAGAGGGAGCTGAGCCAGAAAGCCAGGCTCTCGATTTACCGGTCAGTCTACGTCCCAATCCTCTCCTATGGTCATGAGCTTTGGGTAATGACTGAAAGAACGAGATCGTGGATACAAGCGGCCGAAATGAGTTTCCTCCGTAGGGTGGCTGGGCTCAGCCTTAGAGATAGGGTGAGGAGCTCGGACATTTGGGAGGGACTCGGAGTAGAACCGCTGCTCCTCTGGATCGAAAGGAGTCAGTTGAGGTGGTTTGGGCATCTGGTCAGGATGCCTCCTGGACGCCTCCCTGGGGAGGTGTTTCGGGCATGTCCTGCCGGCAGGAGGCCCCCGGGTCGACCCAGGACACATTGGAGAGGTTACATCTCCAATCTGGTCCGGGAACGCCTTGGGGTCCTGCCCGGAGGAGCTGGTGGAGGTGAACGGAGAGAGGACGGTCTGGAGCTCCCTAGTTGGGATGCTGCCCTCGCGACCCAGACCCGGATAAGCGGAGGAAGACGACGACAAAAAACTAACTTATCAGACATGCTGTCTCATCTGCTTCTTTTCTAAACTTGCAAAAAGTAACAAAACCATTTGAAAGCCGCTATTTGTGGATTCTCTGAAAGTTTCCATGGAGTGTGTGACAGCTTATTTTATCATTGATCCTATCGTCTATTCTCACAGCTGAAACAAGCATCCTTAATAATCCGTGCACAGGAAGCTTACCGATGCTGTAGTAAAACAAAAGGTATAATAATTTATTATTAATAAAACCTTGTTGCAGCACTAAAGCAGAAAAATGAGATTTTGCAATAAATATGCAAAATATTTACATATGAATTGTTTTAGAGCCCTTTTATTGGCAGAATCTGATATTAATTTTAGTTCTTCCAAAAAATGGGTCCCACATGGGCCATAGTGTGACGTCATAGGCACAGATCCCCCGTCCTCTTTTTTGGAAATGGAAATATGGTCACCCTATTAAACAAACTGTCCACCCGGGCTTTTGCGCTGCACAGAGACACTTTGCTGCCTATGACTTTGAACGTCAGTTGAGAGTCAGTCTCATGCAGACTGACCAATGAAGAGAGGGCCTCAAGTTAAGACCCTCTCCTCCAGTGGCGGATCTAGGATTTTTCTGAGGGTGGGGCCATCAAGGGGCCACAATATTTATAGGGGGGCCACGTACAGTCCAACATACCTGCATACTATTCCCAGTTTTGTATGGTAGATACAGTTTACCACCCACACCATGTTGAAAAACATTAATGCAATTGTACATCAATTTTTACTGTACATAGACAAAATACAACCACACACAGCATTTGAGAAATTTTAGCATTCAATTTATTTTGCTAAGGCACAAATATAAGATTAAAATATGTTTGTGTGTGGAAAAAAACACCAGAAGAATATCTTGGTAGGTCAAAGGAGGAAAGTGAACAGGACACCAAGAAATGACTGTAATCTATTTAAAAACTGAACATACTGGTCTCCATGACACATTAAACAGACATGCAACAATGACATGGAATCAGTTTGAAAAATCTGAGCATGTTTTACTTTATTGCCCAAAATAAAAAGTTGAAAGAATTATTGTCAATCACCAATGACTTCTGAACAGTGACTTATTATGGTCATTACCAAACCTCCTTGGCATAAAGCAGATGAGTCCTGATCTCATTACGCCCTTAACTCATTTAGTTTAAAACATCTCTGTAACAAACATGCAGTTTCATGTGGTTGTCTACTGTACATCCTACTCTTCTAAAAGAGCATTATTCTTCGGTTTTTGTGATGAGAACTAAACAGTCTCACAAATTCATTCATGTCTAATGCTTTTGCTCGTCTGGACTCAATACTCAACACCCCAAGATGACTCAAGCGCTCATCTGTCATTGTTGTTCGCAAATGATTTTTAATCAAACTTAGTGCCGAAAAGCTGCGCTCACATGAAGCACTGCTCACCGGAATTACAATGGCTATTTTTGCAAGCCTAAATAATTCAAGAAACAGCTCCTTGAATGGTTCTAGGAATACTACAAATTCTAGAAGTGTAGTAAACCTCTGCATCCCACTTTTTTCTTTACAATCCAACAGTCTCTTTATCTGTTGAAGCTCACTGGCCAGGTAATCAACATTTGAATCAAAAAACTTGGCAAAGGAAAAAAGAGCATCTTCTTGCAAAAAGGTGATGCTTTGAGGATGAAGTGCTTGGATTCCCTTCATAATTGTGCAGCTGCGCTTAGAGAAACGTCGTTGAAGTTCACCTGTCATTGAATCCAAAACTGGATAGAAAATGTGTCTTGTAAAGTTTTCCCTGTCATTTTTATCAACTCTACGCTCACCAGTTGATGTGGTAAGTATGTAATCATGTAGCCGCCTATTTGTCTTAGGCTGCCTCTTCTCAGTCTTTTCCCAACTTTGATCACACTTTACAGCCATTTCCTCCACCTCCCTCCATACAACCTCAAAAAAGGCCTCACTCCAGTATTTCTGCAACGTGGCCAGTAAGGAATCCACAAGACTGACTGCTGCTGAGAGGTCCAGTGAGGGCGACTGTAGCATGTCTGACAAAAACTTGGACTGACCCAGGACTTTTTTGAACATAACCAAGAGTCCAATAAAGTTAAGATCAATTTGGGCCAGTAAGCCACGAGCATCTACTGCCCGATCACCTTGACTTTCCAGCCCAATTTCTTGCAGTAAACGGCACACTGCTGGGAGTCTGTCAAGCAGGTTGTGACAGGCGGCGTACCTGCAAGCCCACCTAGTGTCACTTAGCTTTGGAAGTTCACGAGGCGGACCGTCATACATTTCTCTCTGAATGCTATGCCATTTTGTGTGCACATATGATCCAGACAAAAAACTATGTAGTTTCTGAAGAAGTGAGAAAAAACAGTCAGCCTCAGAAACAGATTTCACACTATCAACAATCACAAGGTTCAAACAATGAGCATTACAATGCACATAAAATGCATATTTGGCTACACACACCTGAGTGCTTGCCACTCATGACAGTAGCACCATCGTAGCCCTGGCCAACCAGGTTGTTGCGGTATTCTAGTCCATGTTTTTCAAGGCATTTTATGATCAAGTCAGTGAGCCCTGCTGCATCTAGGCTGTCAGCTTTCATGAAGTCAATAAAGCTCTCATGTATGACCCCTCTGTAATAATATCTGATGACCAGTGACACTTGCTCTTTTTTCTGAAGGTCTTTGGCTTCATCAGCTATTATACTGAACACCTCACTCTGTTTAACTTCCCTCACTATTTCCTCTTGAACCATTCCTGCCAGGCATTCCAACATTTCATTTTGAATGGTTTTGCTGGTATATTTGGCATTAGCATGAGCTTTCATGCGCTTCTCTAGAAACGAATCATGCTTAGCTATTTCTTCTAAAATAGCCAAAAAGTTACCTCGGTTACCCGAGTCCTCAGATTCTCTGTGACCCTCTGGGAAATGTTCTGTGTGGCAGTTAAAAGCAGGACTTCTGCAATAGTTTTAATATATGTCTGATTCTCCTTAATTTTCTTTTCTCTCTCTGTGTTAAAAGACTCTGTCATGCATGATTTTGTTTGAGTGGTCATTTCATGCTGTTTCCATGCAAACATAGCATTTTGGTGGTGGTCTGATTTAGAGTGGTCTTTAAAGCCACCTTCTTTACACAAAGCTTTCTTCCAGTTGGAGAAACCACTTTCTGTTCTGAATACAGAAGACAGGGCATTTGGAAGGGAGAAATGGCGGCAGGCATAACAAAATACAGAGTCTCTACTGATGGAGTACTCCAACCACGTGTATTCTCTGTACCATGACTCGTTGAATGCCCTCTTGCGGTTGCCATGTTGCGTCTTGGGGAAAACCTTAAGGAGAGGCTGCACAGGACCCTCTGCTCTTGACTGGGAAATGTCTGGTGGGAAGTAAATGAAATAAGTCTGAGTCAATTGCTTATATTTCTCAACCTTTAACATTCATGGCATTCAGAATCTGCAAGTGATTGACTGCAAAATTCAATTAAATTTTAAAGAGCCTTTACAAAATGAGAAGCATACCACCAGGTCCTACTGGAACAGAACACTGTTCCGATGTCTGCGCAGGACTCTGTGCATCACACTGGAAGATGTCTGAAAACAGCAAATGAAATATGATCTAACATAAGCCGAATACATACACAAGCATTTATTACTTTCTAAGATCAATGTTTACCATTTGATCCTGCAGGATTAGCAGTGATTGGTGACTCTGGTGGCCCAGCAGGATGGAAGGTTAAGTCATTAATTTTACTCTGGTTGTCCGAATTGAAGAGAGTCTTGTCCCAGTTTGCAGCTAAAACACAAATATATGTCAAACTCCAGCCAAATCCAGCCAAAACTTTGTTTTCTATGAGACCACATTTTTATTTATTTGAAATTGAAGACTTGAAAGATTGGACTATAAAGATGAGTTGTGGTAGATGTAGACAAAGGAACCAATACAATTTAAATCCATTATGTTAATGTTATAGTAAACCACATCACCATGAAGCGGAAGAATTCAGTAAACATATGTGCCATTAGTACAAGATAACAACATCATTTAACAATTTTGAGATAATGGTGATTTTTTTATTTTTACCTAGAATAATGGCAGGAAAAACTGGACTAACAAAGGAATATCCAAAACACAAAATCTCTTTGGAAAACTTAACCTTGACCTTAATTAATCAACCAATTATAAAATTCAGTGTTTCAAACAAGGACTTTTCCCACAAATTTTACAATACATTAAAATGTCACAGTTTAGGGAAACCTTGAAGGAATTGTGGGAAAGGAAACTTAACTGCAACATTCCTGATGATGAATGGAAAGATGCTTTGAGAAATGTAAAGTCATTTACTAAAGGGAAGCAATTTTGCCACTAATGATTAGTCACAATTAACAACTTCTATCAATTTAAACAATAATCCTTTATTTTTGGTACTTGGAATAACTGACCCAATTATTACTGATAAATATAAAAAGCTCAATGCAAATTTTCTGTGCAAGAAAATGACTCCACATTAATTTGATCAGCTCCAAGATCAAATGGGAAAAGGATATCCTCAATTATAAGCAGAAACATTGGGCAGCATTAGCTCGTTCATAAGTGGTCAGACCGTCCTGCTGGATAATGTGGTGCAATCATGATCTTTTTACAAAAGATTATGCGATGGCGGTGAAAAGGGGGCTTGGGGGCGGTCTCTGCGCTGCCACGGACTTCAGTTTATCTTGGACATAACTTGCTTTTTATTGCGATCAAAGCCACACTCATTAAGCTTTTTTAACAAGCCGCTCCAGAAGGTGTCTGTCCCCGTGCAGTCTCTGGTGATCTGAGCTTCAACTCTTACGGAGAGAGGCTCCCCATCATCTCAGCTGATTCTGTTTAGAAAAGCCAAACTTACGTTACGGCCCATGTTTGCTTTCATTTTCAATATAGTTGCCGGCCGGAGCTCGGCAGTAGCTGCCCACGTGATCATGATACCCTCTGTTGCGCCAAGTTGTAATATGCATTCACAAGTCCGGCGTTGCGGTAAAATTAGTATCAACCGTGGCAGCACGAATGCCACAAAATGCCCGCAACACCATGCCGCCACGGTGCGTTTACACGTACGCTGATTTCCCGGCATGGTGTGTCCTAAAAGAGGCTGTCTCTCGTGTTTATCTGACATGACTGTTGCACAATAAAGATTATATTCTTTCTGACCTGATAAAGGGGGAATGGAGGTGCCTTGCCCTGTTCCAGCCTCTGGTCCACTGCCTCCTGCTGCTCTCTCTCAGATTTCTCCAAGCTCGTTCTCACCAGCTGACACACTCACTCTCTTTGGAAAATACTGCAGAATTCCCGCCTGTATCTGACCCTTTCTTTTCATGTTCTCTATTACAGTGCCAACTATTAACACACAAAATGCAGATTACAAAAGAAGTACATGGATTAGCAAGGGCTAACGTTTTTTCACAAGCCTTTAACATTACTGTTAACTAATGTCGGCATTGCTTTCCATTTGACTTATTGTCAGAAATGACTTACATAGCAACTGTGAGTAAACAGTGATTCATGACTTACCAACAAACTCCTCATAACGTGAACTCTCTTCAGATGTCGGTTGAAAGTTCTCCCTCCTTGGAATCTTTCAAATCTTCTTCTGTTAGATTTCACACACTATTTTGCTCCTTAGCGCCACGCGGCCACTAGTGTTTGGACTCGGAATTGCATCCACCTACAATCTCTTCACCGCACAAAGGACAAATGAGTGACAGGACAGGGGCACTACAGGGGCCAATCAGATTTCAGCAGGGGCCAGTGCCCCTGTGGCCCCGCCCTTAGAACCGCCAATGCCTCTCCTCATTGGTCAGTCCACATGAAGTGGGTCAAAGGTTACCCTGAGCGGGTTACGTGACGTCAGGCATTCAAGTATTGAGTATATTTACTGCATATTACAGTAAAATATTTTGTATATTACCATATTATGGTGATCCTTGGGTCGTGATGATGGGGCCCTTGAATATTGTTGCCCAGGGTACAACAAAGTGTTAATCAGGCCCTGCTTGTACGCCTCTTGTCCTAGAAATTTTCCAGGCTAGTCCCATTGGATGGAGACCTTTGGACAGAGTAAAAACTTGCTAAGGGTTGTCTGCTCTCTCTGGCCTGGCAGTGTCTTGTGATCCCCAGGAGATGCTGGAGATCACAAGTCTTTAGAGAGAGAGAGAGGGATGTCTGAGCTTCTCTGCTGGACCTGTTACCTCAAGTTTGGATAAGCGTTGAGGAGTGCTGATATATTTTGAAACTTGGCTTTTGTCAAATTTATTTTATTTTTTTAATTCAAGAAAAGTATTTGAATCCGACATTAAAAAAACATGCCTTTATTTTCCCCTTTATCCATATTTACCTCCCCTTTCGCCCTCTCCAGTCTCAGTCTTTCCTAAGTGGTTTACACACAAAAGACGGGACAAACTTGAAGGTAAAACACTGCTATGATGAGCAACTATGATGCTAGATTTTTAACTTCACTCATTGCTGATGAGTTTACTCCCCACCTCTCTTAGCAGTATATAGATCTGCTGGGAGATGAGAGTTTTATCCTGCCCCCTGGGATGGAGCATTACTCTACAAATGGTGACCACTTGCCGCTCCCTCCTGGCCGAAGAAGAGTGCTGGATCAGCTCTTTTACGGTGAACACTGGGAGCCGGATCCATACCAAGGTTATGAAAGGGATCCACTCTCCACTCTTCCCTTGCAGGCCCGAATGCAGGCTCACATACACAAGCACAGGTTAGGGATACGGAAAAAAGGCCCTTGGGTGTCTACAGAGAGAAACATCTACACATTCTGTAACTGTCTTTGTTTCTCAGGCTGATGGCTAAACATGTTGGCTGGGATGTTGCAGCTGTTCTCTCTATGAACAGAGAAGGTTTTGGTCCCAAAGGACCCGTGGAGGTCCAATCAGAGCTGTTTATTCAACACAGCTCCAGAGGGCAGTACTGGGACGTGTCTCGGATCTTCCAGACTCGTATAGTTCATCCTGATGTAGCGAATTCACAAGGACACACCGCACTGATTGCTGCAACCGTAATATTTCACAATTTAAAAATGTCTTCCTCTTGATTCAGTTGTACTCAGGTCTGAATGGCAGTCACACATTTAACACTATTAGTGACAAAACAGACTTAATCTGTTTAGTTACCCGAAGCTGCTTTAACTGTTTTACGTCGGCTTTGCTTTTTTTCCACCTGTCAGGTCAACTGCCACGATGATGTGATCCATCTGTTGCTGGATATGGGTGTTGATATTAACAAGTTGAACAGTGAAGGCATGTCTGCTCTAGCTGTGTGCCAAGTCCTCCTATACCCCTCTCTTCACACCATTTTGACCAAACCACCGGTAGGAAAGGGTTTCATTCAGCTTATTTTTGACTCGTAGAAATGTCTACCAGTTAAATGTGGGGTGGGGTTCCTGGAAAAGCTGTTCAAGCAAGCTACATTTAAAAAAATATACAATTTAAAGGTCCAACCGCCTTTTTTTTTCAGGCTAAGCCTCATCTCCAGAATACAGGACAAGGCCGAATGTAACGGATACTGTCAAACAACCGTAATAACAAAAGCCTCTTTCATAAAGTAATTCAATTCAATTCAAGTTTATTTATATAGCGCCAAATCACGACAAGAGTCGTCTCAAGGCACTTCACATAATAAACATTCCAATTCACAGTTCATTAAGCCAATCAGAAGTAATGTTTCCTATATAAGGAACCCAGCAAATTGCATCAAGTCACTGACTAGTGTCAGTGACTATACAGCAGTCCTCATACTAAGCAAGCATGCAGCGACAGTGGAGAGGAAAACTCCCTTTTAACAGGAAGAAACCTCCAGAGAATCCTGGCTCAGTATAAGCAGCCATCCACACACACACACACACACACACACACACACACAAAGACAAGTAATGTGTCTATAGTTATATCACCGTTCGGTGAGTCTCAAATAAAAATTTGGGCATCTTACTGTAAAGAAAATGACGCTATATTTGCTGCAAAGCTGAGCTGGCTTCAGGGAGCCTTTGGTTGTTCGTAAGTGTGGCGGTGATGTGGCGTGATTATGTGCTTTTCACAAACGACTGCTGGTATATAAGGAGTGTGGCGGCGGTCTCTGTGCTGTCACAGACTTCTTTTTAGCTTGGAAATAATTAGCTTTTTATTGCGATTGAAGCAGCGCTCCTTACATTTTTTTTTCCCACGAGCCGCTCCAAAGTGGCTGTCCTTCAGTCCCCGTGAACAATCTAAGCCTCAGCTCTTAACTGCATGGCTCCGGTTTGCCGTCTGAGCTGATTCTGTTTACAGAAGCGAAACTTACTGCTTGTGTTTGCTTTAACTTTCAACATAGTTGTCAGCCGGTGCTCAGCAGACATTCCACACGTGATCAAGACACCACCCTCTCATGCACAATGACGTCTTTATTCACAAGTCTGGGGTTGCGGGAATATTACTACCAAGTGTGGCGACACGACAGCCGCAAAATTCCCACATTGCTATGTCGCCACAGCGCATTCATCCATGTAACCGTATAACAATTCAATGTTTGCTCGTATAGCTAGCCCGGCTCTGGCTTCACTTCCTGTTCAGCTGCTCCAAGCCGAGAAAGCGTGATTTGTGCAGATTTAGAGGTATGTGCTGAGGGGGGAGGGACAGTCAGAGGGGCAGTTTTATGAAGAGATCAGGATCCAATCGTTTAGGACAGGAATTTACGTTTCAAAGGCGATCAGTACTAATGCCTTTTTTTTTTTTTTTTTTTTTTTTTACAAAACATTGATTTATTGGATGCCATTGGTATGTGAAGAGCATTTCAAGCAATAAGGCAAAAAAAAAAAAGCCCCAGAAAAACATTTTCTACCCCACCTTTAATCACTATGTAGCTGGAGTCTTTTAACAAAGTGTATTTTACCTTTTAAGGTTCTTCAGAAAGTGTTTCACAGTATTCTTCCAGATTTCACTAACTAGTTTACTCCTACTTTGTAATGTCTTGTCAGGTTATGATGTCTCCATCTTTAAGTGAAATCAATTCAGTGCTTAGTGAGCTTGACCTAACATCACTCACACCTGTACTAAACAACGACACTGAGAAAATCAAACTGGAGGAGGTTGATGAACAGGCAGAAGATGGTGAAGCAAGAAGAGACCAGGATGCTGCTGATGTGGAGCACTCCATTCAGGTAGCTGGATGGTGACATTTCACTGGAACTGGAAGGAAACCCCGGCTAAGCTGGATGCATGCTAACGCTATTATCGGTTTTAACTTTTTGTGTTTTTGTGACAGAACAAAGATGAAGACCTGACCCAAAAACAGAGCGCCGACTCTACCAGTTTGCTCAGCAGCGTTAATGCAACAAAAAATTTTCTTCAGTGTTCATCAGAGGTGTTGAATCACACGGGATTTCCTCTGAGCTGTGACACACAGGAGACTGTGTGCAGAGTGCCAGCCATGAACATTGAGTCAGTTTAGTTTTGTCCCTGTTCTTTCTTTAGTGTTGATGTCAGTTGATTTATTGCTGCATATGTGATATTTTACGTGTCCTTTGCTTGACCAGGCGCCACATGCGTTTGAAAACCCTAAAGGTGCTACTTGAACGAGGAGCTGACCCTAACCTGGCCAGGGTTCCCTTACCTGTTCTGTTTTTAGCCATTATGGCAGGTGACACTGAAGTTGTCAAGACACTGCTGCTGTTTGGTGCTCACACTGACGTCCCCCTTCCACCAGAGGTATGCACCGATGACCTTAAAGGGACTTTACGGACTTTTGAATTTTTATGCTCGCGATTGCCCCCTCAGGCCAAAAGCGTAACGGCAGCTTCAATAGGAGGCTCGTGCACGAGGCGCGCATGCTGTACGTGCACACTCCTTAAAGAAAATAACAGCTGAGACAGTCAGCTCTGTGTTTGTGTGTGTGTGGCCTGGAGGACAGAGGACAGGAGAACACGCAGCTAATCAATTAATTTGGTTCTGTACCTTTCTCTTCAGCACAGCCAACAAAGGTTTAAAATGGGTCAGTCCTCCTGCATGCTCAGATCATTCCCTTCCCTTGCTTGAAAAATTGTTCCAAAATAAAAGTTGAACCCACATCTTGTTTATCTGTGAATTCAATGCCGTTCGGCGAGTCTCAAATAAAAATTTGGGCATCTTACTGTAAAAAAAATTTACCATTAATGTAAAAAAGAAACTCTAAAAGAACTATGTTCACACCCAGAATTGAACCCAGGTCTTCTGCATGAGAGTCAAACATCTTACAAGTTGAGCTACACTCTAGTAACATTCATAGTATCTGTAACTTTTATATCCTTGATGACACCTGAAACAACGTCAAACCAAAGAACGGTTCAGAGTGAAAATGGCTATTTTGTTGCTAATTTGCAGGAAATATCTAGAAGAAAGTTCTACAGAAAGTAGCTAAGGGTCCTCAGAAATGTAGCTAGATTTGTCACTAGGCGTTAGGAACAGCGACAAAGTTGCTGAGTTGGCACTACCTCTCCCTCTGCTGCTAAAGCTACAGATAGCAAATGCTACGGGCTATGACTGAGCGTGAACGTCCATGAAGCAGCCTGCTCGACCCGAGCATCTCTCTTTTTCTGTGATTTTACAGAAAAACAGGCAATCACAGTAAAAATGCCAGGGCTCATTCTACAGGACCAGGGCATTGCAGGAGAATGTATGAAGAAGACATTTATTATTTCTATACATGTTTTGGCTGTCAAACTTCCATAATGCCCCTTTAAGGTGGAAATCTGGAGTTTTTATTTCTCAGAAGGCACCATCTAGAGGTGGAAAAACTGTATTGCACCTTAAGCCCTTTTCCCTTTTATTAGTGATTAGCAACGCCTGACATTTGTCAATCCCCACCTCCAGCCAGCCAACAGAGCTAAAACACATTATTATTCTCATGTCGTGATGTTTATTTAAATATATAAATATTTTAAAATGACTTATCATTAAGAAATTTAGCCAACTCTGCATCAGTCCAGTTACGTAAAAGCAGGTGTCCAATGCTACTGGCTATTACTGAGTGGTACTCAATTTAGAGGGGGGTGGAAAAACGCACCAAAAATGTGACTTTTTGCCTTTGTTGGGATATTAATAAAAGTCCCATTTTGAGTGGGGTTGTATAGTTGTTAAAATCCAAACATAAAAAGATAAACATGTACATAAAATGAGGCCTAAATTGGCTTTGATATCTTATGTTGCAGTACAAAGGCTTGTATCCCCTGCATGTTGCTGCAGCGCTTCCAGGTCCACAAGGTCCAGTAATCACAGAAATTCTTATTCAATCTCTACCTGACCTGGACCTAGACCTGCAGGCATGTGATGAGGACGAGATCTATGAACCAGATAGGGTAATGAGGTTTTTACATTAAAGAATAATTATTTCTGAATGGTTTCCATTTTGTAGAACTACTAAAAGAAGTTGACTAGTCTAAGTCTTTACAGATTTCTATGATGGCCTTGAAACTTCGGAGCTCCAGAGATAGCCCGGGACTTGGAAAAGGGGGTCGAACTGCCCTGCATGTGGCGTGCCAGAGAGAATTTGATTACATGGTCAGTGAAATCTGCTGGACACATTCTTATTCATAGAGGCTGACCAATATGGTTTTTTTAAAGTGACAATGTGTAGTTTTTACCATTAATCTCTGGAAATATCAATTGAAATGTTGTAAATGAATTAAAAGATACCCAATTGTTGAAAAATAACATATAACCATAAAAATCGGGTCTACAATACATGGGAGCGGGTCTAAGTCTCTGGGCGACGCCATATTGGATGCCATGTTTCCTTCTACGGAAGCCCGTGAGGACAGAATGCGTTAACTGATTTATAACAAATGGTTAAAAAACTTTCAGCATTAATAAACGTCGTTCTTTTACACATTTACCTCTTCACTCATTGCAAGTGATGAAAAGGGAATCTGATGTTCTTGTTATTTTGATGGAGTTTGCACTCTCAAGGATTTTTGACCCTAATGGCCATCTGTTGGTAAGGTCTTACTTGAACACAAAAATAATGCTTGCTTGCAGTCATTTAGGTATCTACTGCCGCCTATCGCCAGGGAAAATACACACTGTCACTGTAAAACCGATGCCGATACCGATTTTCAAAGAATTTTGTTGGCGATATCTAAAACCGATTATTGAGGTCGATATATATTTACATGTTTTAGCAGCACATTGACTGTGAGAGACAATTGAACACTCCCTGTGTGCAATATAAATTAAATATGTCAATAAATCTTTTAATATTTATTGAACTTCAAATATAAAACAAACTCAAAACACTTAAAAAATGATGTTGGGTCCTTCGGGTCTTTTCTTCAGTCTAGTAGTAGCGGCAGTTGGCCACACAGGTGCCAGTTTTAAAAATTATTTTTATTTTTTTTATCGGCTTTTAAAGATAATTTTGGCCAATATAGAAAAAGTTGAATATGTCGGCCGACCTCTACTTACTCATGTGAAATATTACTTTAAAATACTTTAATTTACCCATCCAGTGTCACAGAATGACAATGCTTAAAAAAAATAAAGCTCAACCAGTTTGAGTCCTTTTTGGGATTTACTTTTGTAAGTTACAACTGCCGATTTTTAATACCTTGAATAACTTTAGGGTTCAAAAACTGCTCAGAAGACTCTTATCTTTGCATTGTACTCTGGCAACTGTCATGTTTTGTGGAATAGAAGGTATACTAGGCAGCTAATGACATCATGGGGACATACGTTACGATTTTTGTTTCATCTTGAATGGTGTCATCTACGTCTACATGTCATCTACATAGTGGAGAGACTGATGGCGTTGCCTGCATGCAAGATTCTTGGTAACGAATGAGTAGAGACCAATGGCCAGACATTAGGATGGATCAAATCGCTGTGACTAGCGCTCTTTGATTAGGCTCATGAAATGTCATCTTCAGCTGCTTAACTGGAAGCACTAAACTGACTCTGTGTGTGTGTGTGCGTGCGTGCGTGCGTGTGTGTGTGTATTGCAGAACGCCAGTAAAGTGGTGTCCATCCTGCTGTCTCACCGTGCCAGCACCAACCTCCTCTGGAGTGGACACTCACCCCTCTCCTTAGCTGTAGCCAGTGGCAACCACCTGGTACATTCTCTCCCTACACACACAGAATTCAACCCTACATATTTGCACCTTTTTTTTCACAAATCTGCTTTTTTTTTCTATCTCAGGCAGTGCAGGAGCTTTTAAACGGAGGTGCAGACCCTAACACACCTCTGGGCCCCACGGTCGGCAGTGCACTTTGTGCCCTCATAAACATTAACTACAACTTTGGCGAAAACAAAATGAAAATTGTATAAACAAAAGTTTACTCTCTTGTTCAACTAAGCAGTCTAGCAAATTAGTTTTTTTATTGTAGTTGTTTATTGTTCCTATAAGGTTTAATTGTGTGCGTCTGTGATGTAGTTGGACATGTTGAGCAACGCTGATGCTGATATCTTTATGCCAGTGAAGGTGGACGGTGTTGAGGGAACTGTTTTTGACTATGCTCACTCCATCCTCAAAGAGGTAACCCATCCATTGTAAACTGATTGAGTATTAATGGAATGGCTTAAGGTTCTGAAATTTATCTTAAAAACTACGCTAAAGCTAATATTCCACCTACTCCGATTGAATCTGCACCTTGTAACAAAATAAATCACAGTTGTTTGAACAATTACATGCCAATAAATGTCTTTGTTCTACTTTCTAGAACTTTGATTTGGATCACACTCAAGCCCACACATTTGGTGGGAAGGAGAGGAAAGTTTTGGAAGCACGCCAGCTGCAGAATGCAATGGTTAATTTGCTAAGACACAAGTGTAAAGGCATGGGTGCAGAGGACCTTAGCCCAGAAAGCCAAGAGTCAGCAGAAACGAGCAGGTACACATATGCGTCAAATCTTTCGTCTAGTTCTGTGTTGTTTAAAAGTCAACTTTACTTATATTTTAATACCTTTGCAGGGGTCTCTAGTAGGAATGAATGATTTGTACGTTTTTCTCTGGGGAAAAAAAAGCTCTGGTGCACCTGTTTGAGGACATAGAAATCATACCGGAAGAAAAAGCGGCAGAACACGGCGGGATTTGGAGTTTTATTTCCTGATATTTTGACATCTCGCCTCTGATTGGATAACAGCAATGTGACTCTACCACTGACTCTGTTTGCTTTTCAGCGTTGACGTTTTGTCTCCACAAATAACACAAATCAGAAGGAGTTCTGCCATGTGGTGGAGTTGCTAATGCTAACAGTTAGCTTCTAGTTAAATGATAAGTGACCGTGTAACATAGATCTGTCAGGCTTTTCTAATCCTATAGTTTCACCGTCTATTTTCTGTCGGAAACTAATGCAGGAGATAGTGTAGGAGACTATTTTCATGTTCAGCCTGCATGAAAAATTCAGTGACTGATTATAATCGGAAATAATAATTAACTCATTCACTGCCAATGATGACTAAAGTCGTCATTTGCATTTTTTTTTTTTTTACTGTGTGGGCGTTGGAACGAGCCCCCGCACCGTGAGAACAAACATCCCAGCTCTAAAGCCGATCTTAATCCGCATACGTCACACGTCACGTGATCAGGAAGCAGAAAATCCACGTGTTAGGAGATCGTTTTGGGCCGCTGCTGTAAAAAAGTGAGGCGCGAACCAGAAAAGCTTCTACCGATCACAATTCGACAACGGATTATGAAAGAACGGATAACGCTCGAAATGTGTGGATTCTTCCTGATATAAAAGGCGAGTCTCCGCTTTGTTTTGGTTGTTTTGGCGTTGATTTCATCATAGAGCGCAATGTTCTGTGACTCTTAAAAAACAGTAAAAACGCTGGCAGCGAAAGGCTTTCCTGATCAGGAAACGGCTCGCAGTTAATAAGTTAAAAATGTTTTTTCACTGAAGTTGACCTTAAGGGATACCGAACAGTTTTGGCTTGCTCTTAGCATCCCCTGGTGTCCGTTAGTAAAAACAAAAGTGAAGCTTATCTACTCACTGTGCGTTCATCTTTTTAACACCTTAATCTAACTGCTGAAATGTGTCCTCAGCCTTCATTACTTTCTACAAGTGCGATTCATCATTAAATCAAACAAATCAGCTGTGTTAAATGATCTAAAACAGGCAGGAAATGTGATGAAGTCAGATTCCATTACCAGGCATGTCAGCTCCACCTAACCTTAAGTCCAACAGGGACCGGACCAGCTACTCTGAAGTTGCAAGTGCAATATTCTGGCCACAGGGGGCAGTAGGGTCTGAGTGACATTTCTTTAACCCTGTAAAGCCAGGGTATTCAATTCTGGTCCTTGAGGGCCAGTATCCACGTTTTAGTTGTTTTTTGGCTCCAACACACTTGATTCAGTGGTTGAATCACTTTGGCAACAGCTCATCAGGCTCTGCAGAAGCCTGTTAATTACCTGCTGATTGAAATCAAATGTGCTGAAATTAGGGTTGGACCAGAGTTGAATACCCCTGCTGTAAAGGGTCATTTTAGCACATACTGGCTCAAGAAAATGATTAAAAATAGAAAAAAGTTGTAAAGTAAGGCTGTGTTGAAAATAGGGATGGGTACCTTTGACATTTGAATCGATCCGGTACTAATTCCCGGTACCTACGAATCGATACCAACACTTAACGGTACCAATTTTCGATACTTTTGAGTTTTTATTATTTTAATTCTCTTTTATAATTAAATATTTATATTTTCTCAATATATAACCATATTTGATAAATGTCACGATAAATAACATACAACTGTTTGTATTTTAACATCGTCCTTGTAGTTTTATAAGCTGATAATTAAACTGAAGCAAACATCTTTACTGTGAACTAAATTTACTGTGTATCTTCATTCCTTTTACCGTCCTTTTTCATTAGATTTTTCCTACTGGGAAGTTAGAATTTCCGAGGAGAAAGCGAACGCCCATTAGCCGATAACAATGGTGGCAATGGAAGCTAACATATCAAGCTAACGTTATCTTAAACAGTTTATTTAGCTGCTGGAGCAGATTAAAACGATGATGCCTCACACTTAGATCGTTGTCGCTGGTTTCATCTTCACCCAATCACCCGTCGCATTTAGTAAAGTGAAGCCAAACTTTAGAGCGCGTTCATGTTCTTCTAGTCAAGAATTCGGAGTTCCGAGGAGAAAGCGAACGCACCATTAGCGAAACGGAAGCTAACATATCAAGCTAACGTTATCTTAAACATTTTATTTACCTACCGGAGCAGCTTAAGATGAGGATGTCTCACTTAGATCGTTGTCTGTCGCTGGTTTCATCATCACCCAGTTACCCATCACATTTAGTGAAGTGGAGGACCCAAGCTTTAGCGTGCGTTCTTTCTACCATGCTGCTCTGTTTACAACTGGCTCGCAGCGACCGACGACGTAATGCTCTTGCGCATGCGCAGCTGTCTTGGCAAGTTCTCGTTATGAAGGACGGGTACCAAAACGAGGCACCGTTTCAAATGACGTGAATCGGTGCTCAGTCGGTACCATGGAATTCGGTCGGTACCTTAAAAAGTACCGAATTCGGTACCCATCCCTAGTTGAAAAAAATCGATTCTTCGATTCTGAATCGATTCTCATAAATATTCATGAGGATCCAGTATGTCCAAAGATCGATTTAACCCTTTAAGCACCAAAGTCGCACAATCGCAACGTGCCATTGTTGACTTTAATGAGCCACAGCTGCAAATATGATCCCTTGTGAAGTTACTACTTTACACCAGAAGATAGAGGAGATGTCCATCTTCAGTAGTCTGTGCAACACTTGTGTTCATATTGAAATTTCTGAGTTTTTGGAGTGTGAAAACCACCTCCCACCAGGACGCTGCCGGTTACGGGAGAGGACGGGAGAAGGAACTAAAGCAGCACACGTAGGGCGATTATTATAGGGAAAGCGTACAAATGCTGACAGGTCTGGTCATTGTTGACTGTCTTTGTCTAGTAATGACCGACTCTGATTCAGAAGAAGAGTATTCACTCATCCGATCGGACACAGTGACGCTGCTGCATGGAGCAACAGAGAGTCTGCTGCGCATAAACAAAGTAAGGCTGGTGGAAATCAAACGTTCCACACGTCGATTCTGGAGCTTTCTCACCGGTGGATGGACATGGTGGATTTAGATAGGATAGTATAAACACCGCTAATGATGACAGACATAGCGGGAATGTAAACCAAACAAAAAAGCCATCAAAATTGTCTGACGTGTTATGTATGGAAGTCAAAGATGAATATTCTACGTATCCCAGCCATCTGTGGTCCAGACATGGACCTTTTCTTGGAGCATTAGATTTTCAAGCCTAAAAATTCTGCTTGAATATTGCTGAATATTATTGAACAAGGCTTGAGCCTTGAGTGAGGCCAATAAGTGTGTGTGTGTGTGTGTGTGTGTGTGTGTGTGCGTGCAGCTACAGCTTTTGGATGGATTCTTAATGTGTTATTTTTAATAATGCCCTAGGTTCATGTTCCAATAGCAGTCTACTGAAGCAGTTATTGGCACTTCTTGCTTCCTCTGTTGGCCGTCCTGGATCTGTTTGCTAATTCTGCCCGACAGCATGTTTGTGAAAAGCACCTTTCTGAGATAAGGATTGGGCCATACAGTCATTTCAATTGGCCAATATCTCATGAATTTGTTGTTAAATGTTTATAGTGTTAATATACTACACAACTACATGGTCATGTAATTTAGGTAACAGCAAAAAAACAAACTAACAAAAAAAAAAGAGTTCGCTGAACCAATATATCGAATCACATCGTGATAATCGATTCTAATTCTTGAGAATCTTAATCAATTCTTTAAATATGAATCGATACCCAGCCCTGTTGCATAGTGTGACTTTAAATATAACTGTCAGAAGCCAATTCCCATCCCAGTTTGTGTAAACTTTTTTTAGGCTGCCAGGGTTCTGCTTTTTCTGTGGCTGCTCCATCTCCAAGAAGTTGACGGCTTGCACACAAGACCATAAAGTCTTCTGCTCCAGAACGTGTAAAAACAAAGACAAAGTGGTGCATGTCCCAGCCAACATGAAGGAAAACTACAGTTTCAACTAACGGATCCTAAAACCCACCACTTCAAACTAACAAGAGTCACATATCTGATGTAAACGGATGCATCTGTCATCACTAGCCAAATGTACTCTTTTTGATTTTCTGGAACATTTGTGCCATAGTCACCTATTCTTTATCTGTTTTGGATCTGTTTTCTGTGTTGAATAGTATTTTACTAATGTTGTCAAAATGTTCATCAGTTTTTGGGATGATTCTCAGAAATGGTTATAATTCAAAATCATTATTAAGAGCACTTTTTTTAACCATAATTACCAAAAAAAAGTTAGACCAAAAATGAAAATGATTTAGTTATTTGTATATTTTGCTAAATGTGTTATTTTATTAGCTTATTAGTAGTTCTTATCAGTCGATGAAAATCTGGGTTTCTTTGTGGTCAGCAGCAAAAACACCTGAGAAATGCAGATTTTTAAAAGAGATGAAAATGTTTATTTTGACAATTACTTTTTAATAAAATCAGTTGAAAACTGTAACTATTTTTGACTTGACCTTTGTGTCTTTACTATTCTTTGGTTGATTGTTTTTGTGCCTGAAGGTTTGCCTTTTGGTTTTTCTGCACATTTGTGGCATGTAATAAAAGGTTGTTGCTGAGTCTTGCATCATAAACCACTGATGACTCAACAAGGAGGAGATGCATTAACAACTTGAAATCTGAAGACTTCTTTAGGGAACAAACTAACTCAAATCAGAGTTTTATGGCCTATCAGTTACACAAGCAGCTGAAGTGTATTTGGAACAGGAGGTGTTATGTTGGATTTGGAGGAAGAGGAAGGTAAACTCGTCGTCGTCTTCCTCCGCTTATCCGGGTCCGGGTCGCGGGGGCAGCATCCTAACTAGGGAGCTCCAGACCGTCCTCTCCCCGGCCTTCTCCACCAGCTCCTCCGGCAGGACCCCAAGGCGCTCCTGGACCAGATTGGAGATGTAACCTCTCCAACGTGTCCTGGGTCGACCCGGGGGCCTCCTGCTGGCAGGACATGCCCGAAACACCTCCCCAGGGAGGCGTCCAGGAGGCATCCTGACCAGATGCCCAAACCACCTCAACTGACTCCTTTCGGTCCTTTTGGTCATTATCCAAAGCTCATGACCATAGGTGAGGGTTGGGACGTAGATCGACCGGTAAATCGAGAGCCTGGCTTTCTGGCTCAGCTCCCTCTTCACCACGACAGATCGGTTCAGCGCCCGCATCACTGCAGACGCTGAACCAATCCACCTGTCGATCTCCCGATCCCTCCTACCCTCACTCGTGAACAAGACCCCGAGATTCTTAAACTCCTCCACTTGAGGTAGGACCTCTCCCCCGACCCAGAGTTGGCAAGCCACCCTTTTCCGGTGAACTCACCCTAAAGAATATGTTTGGCCCGGAGGATTATTTTTGTCAAGTGAGTAAAGTATGTAAGAAAAACCCAAAGTGTAACTTCTAAAGCTAATTTATGAAGCCAACAAAAACTACTCATTCATTCACACAACCTAATATTTAAACAAGGACAATGTTTTACAAGAAAAGGACATGGCAAAAACAGCTCATCGAAGGCTAGGTGCCGCTTCCCAATGTGTGAACAGTAGGACAAAGCAATAAAAATCTTAAAACTTTTAAAAACCCAAGTTACGATGATATGTGTAGCCTAACTTTCGTATTATTATTATTATTATTTTACTGTTACAATGTAACTGGACACAAAACTATTAGTCCAGTTGCATTAGGTTAAAACATAATTGAGCCCTCCCGGCACCTATATTTCAGCGAGCGTGCGAGCAAGTGCTCATTCACGCGCTTTCTTCGCTCGTTGAAAAGGGCGGGGCTAGTTGCCTGGGCCATAGAAATAAACATATAAACATTTATATACATAGCTATGGCCGAGGTCAGGAGGGTGTTGCGTCTCACCGTTTGCGTCATTCGCCGGTGACTCAGCGGAGGGACGGGCATTTATCTGGATGGGAGGCACACAAGAACCAGGAAGCTGTTAGGGACGCATTTCTAAACTTAAATAATCCCTGTTGAAAGGAGCAAGGCCGCCGAATTCTGTAGGAAAGGAAAACTTTTATTTTCATCTTTTTTCTAAACAAGTTTGAGTTTACGTTAGCTCTAGAAGGGACTGGTTTATATTTGGAAACAAACAGGCATGGACCAAGAGGAGCAGGAAGACGAGCTGCTCGCCCTGCAGAGCATATTCGCTTCGGAGGAGTTCATCCGAAAGGAGTCGAAGTGTGCCGGAGAAATCCGAGTCTCTGTGGAGCTTCCTGAAGACTTTACCGTGGTCCTGAAACATGGTAAATAGGTCATCTGACTAAGATCTGAAGTTTACCACGTGATGAAACATCACTGCCTTTAAAAACAAAGTATCATAATTTAATATTTACTAGCTTCAATAACCTAAATATGAAAAAAGTCAAATGAAAACATTCAATGAAATGAAATAAATGTTTTTTTCTGTCCCATACATTAGTAATGTACTTTCTAAAAATAATATATATTTTTTATTAACAAAATGCTTTAAAGCAAATATTTATTATTCTAGTCTGCTTTTGGATAGGCTAACTTCCATTTGTTGTCCTTAATTATGTGGGTTAATAACTTTACCTTGCTGATTTACTTCCTATAAGGTGGTGAAACACTGAGGCAGTATGACATTTCGTTCCTTCCACCCCTGCTTTTGAACTTTGAACTTCCTGAGGACTACCCTTCCTCCTCCCCTCCCGCCTTCACCCTCACCTGCAGCTGGCTGTCTCACACGCAGGTAATAAACAGATGGTAAAAGTCACACATGCAAACAAACCTCAATAAAGATCATTTTAATTTTGTTCATCTTCTCAGCTGGGTTTATTGAGTGCTCAGCTCGCTGATCTCTACGAGGCCACCAGGGGCGCTGTGGTGCTTTTCTCCTGGGTTCAGTTTTTGAGAGAAGATGCCCTAAAGCTCCTGGACATCCACAGTCTGCTGGAGCTTCCTTCAGATAAACCAAGCTATCTGCCAGATAAAAAGAGTAAAGAAGATAATGAGCCATCACTAGCAGCGGCTAATAACACCCCCAAACCCACAGATGTGTCTTATCTTAGTGGACATGGTTCTTCTGTGTCATCTGGAGGAAATTTGTTAAATCATTCAACTTCAGCCCAGAGCAGAGACTCTCAGGGAGCTTCTGGACTGAACTCTAATGAGGCTGACCAAAAAGATTTATGTTCCTCGGGCACTAAAGCACATCATCCAGAGGCTGATGCAACAGTTTTACAGATCTCAGATTTTAAATCTGACAGCCGGAAGGATCTTTCTTCAGCAGCGGACAAATCTGAAGGTCTTCCATCTTCAGAGTCTTTTGAAAGTCGCCAGGAAGGTGTTTTCAACAAATCTGAGGTTTCACAGCCTCTAAGTGAGAAAGAACCAGTCCGGCCCACAGAAATCTCGTCAAACAACGAATCGACCTCTGCTTTTCTCTCTTTAACTCCATCCCAAAAGCTCATGTCACAGATTTTAATCTACAACGCGGCGCAGAAGCAGAAGGTCTTCGCCACCACTGTGTTTGACTGCGGCGTTTGTTACACGGGCTGGCTCGGGTCGGAGTGTGTGCAGCTGCATGAGTGCAGTCACGTCTTCTGCAGGGCCTGCCTCGGGGAGTTCTGTAAAGTCCAGATTAATGAGGGGAATATTCGTGGTGTCACCTGTCCTCATGATGGCTGTACCGCAACCCCGACACCTGCACAGGTAAAGTCACATACGAATAAAAAGGCACAAACCCATAGAAGCAGAAATAGAGCATGTTAGAAAAGCCCCACAAACATGTTTGCATGGAAATGTCTCATACAGATGAACACACAGATAGCCAAGGATTAATACATGATTTATTGCTTTTATACACTCAACAAAAATATAAACACAACACCTTTGTTTCTGCTCCGATTTTTCATGAGATGGACTTAAAGATCTAAAATTCATTCCAGATACACAATATCACCATTTCTCTCAAACATTGTTCACAAATCAGTCTAAATGTGTGATAGTGAGTACTTCTGCTTTGCTGAGATAATCCATCCCACCTCACAGGTGTGCCACATCAAGATGCTGATCTGACATCATGAGTAGTGCACAGGTGTACCTTATACTGCCCACAATAAAAGGCCACCCTGGAATGTGCAGTTTTGTCTCACAGCAAAATGCCACAGATGCCACAAGCACTGAGGGAGCGTGCAATTGGCATGCTGACAGCAGGAATGTCAACCAGATCTGTTGCTCCTGCATTGAATGTTCATTTCTCCACCATAAGCCATCTCCAAAGGTGTTTCAGAGAATATGGCAGTACATCCAACCGACCTCACAACCACACACGACGTGTAACCACACCAGCCCAGGACCTCCACATCCAGGTTCACCTCCAAGATCATCTGAGACCAGCCACTCAGACAGCTGCTGAAACAATTGGTTTGCATAACCAAATAATTTCTGCACAAACTGTCAGAAACCGTCTCAGGGAAGCTCAACTGCATGCTCGTCGTCCTCATCGGGGTCTTGACCTGACTCCAGCTCGTCGCTGTAACAGACTTGAGTGGGCAAATGCTCACATTCGATGGCGTCTGGCACGTTGGAGAGGTGTTCTCTTCATGGATGAATCTCGGTTTACATTGTTCAGGGCAGATGGCAGACAGCGTGTGTGGCGTCGTGTGGGTGAGCGCTTTGCTGATGTCAATGTTGTGGATCGAGTGGCCCATGGTGGTGGTGGAGTTATGGTATGGGCAGGGTGCATTTTATTGATGGCATTTTGAATGCACAGAGATACCGTGATGAGATCTTGAGGCCCATTGTTGTGCTGTACATCCATGAACACCACCTCATGTTTCAGCAAGATAATGCACGGCCCCATGTTGCAAGGATCTGTACACAATTCTTGGAAGCTGAAAATGTCCTAGTTCTTCCATGGCCAGCATACTCACTGGACATGTCACCCATTGAGCATGTTTGGGATGTGCTTGACCGGCGTATACGACAGCGTGTACCAGTTCCCACTAATATCCAACACCTTCGTACAGCCATTGAAGAGGAGTGGACCAACATTCCACAGGCCACAACTGACAATCTGATAAACTCTATGCGAAGAAGATGTGTTGCACTGCATGAGGCAAATTGTGGTCACACCAGATACTGACCGGTTCTGAGTCCCCAGACCCCCAATAAAGCAAAAAAAACTGCACATTCCAGGGTGGCCTTTTATTGTGGGCAGTATAAGGTACACCTGTGCACTACTCATGATGATGATGATCAGCAACTTGATGTGGCACACCTGTGAGGTGGGATGGATTATCTCAGCAAAGCACAGGTGCTCACTATCACACATTTAGACTGATTTGTGAACAATGTTTGAGAGAAATGGTGATATTGTGTATCTGGACTGAATTTTAGATCTTTAAGTCCATCTCATGAAAAATCGGAGCAGAAACAAAGGTGTTGCATTTATATTTTTGTTGAGTGTATATATATATATTTTACTTTTCTTGCCCTTAAACACATCTGCGTTTCCTTATTTCTTTTCTGATCTTTTCTAGGTGAGGAGTCTTGTTGGAGAGGAGCTGTTCAGCCGATATGATCGCCTCCTCCTGCAGTCTACACTGGACTGCATGTCTGGTGGGTTTCTCCTTCATTAAAGTAATAATTCATAAAAAGAGTCACAGTCGCCGAGCAACGTTCCCCTTTTCTCTTAGATGTGACCTACTGTCCTCGGACGTCCTGCAGTTCTGCTGTTATCCTGGAAGAGTCCAGCAACGCAGCGATGTGTTCTGTGTGCAGCTTTGCTTTCTGTGTTAAATGCAAGAAGACGTACCATGGAACAAAGGAGTGCTACGTAAAAACGAAACAGAAGGTCAAAGAGGACATCCAGCTAGATATGCCACGGTCATTAGGTATACAACAACACGCAGCAAGTACAGTCAGCTGTTTAAGGGTTCATGCTCTTTTCACCGAACTAAGATACTGAAGCAAAAGGTTGGTTCCATCCGGGCATCCTCCCTGCTAAATAAACAAACCACCTATTTTTATATTGATTAGAATGTGTCATCACAGGTTTTTAACATTGCAACTTCTTGGCAAAAGATAATAAGAATAATGATATTGGCTTTTACTTGTTGTGGTTTTAAAGACACGTTCAAGTCATTCAGAGGAAAGAGCCACAGCAAACTTTGCTTCAGACGCCATCTTCGTTGTTTATGAGAAACTGACCATCGCGGCGTGTGCTGCTCAGACCCAATGCTTCTCATGAGGAAGCATGAGGCTGGCTGGTCAGACTCAGCACAGAGTCCCAGACTTCCCTCTCCCCACTTCGGCCAGCTCCTCCGGGGGAATCCTAAGGCGTTCCCTAGCCAGCTGAGAGACATAGTTCCTCCAAAGTGTCCTGGGTCTTCCTTTAGGTCTCCTCCCAGTTGGATGTGCCCAGAAAACCTCACCAGGGAGGCATCCAGGAGGCGTCCTGACTAGATGCCCGAGCCACCTCAACTGGCTCCTCTCAATGTGAAGTAGCAGCGGATCTACTCCGAGCCCCTCTCAGATGACCGAGGTTCTCATCCTATCTCTAAGGGAGAGCTCAGCCCCCCGTAGAGAAAACTCATGTCGGACGCTTATATCCGCGATCTCATTCTTGGGGTCACAACCCAAAGCTCATGACCGTAAGTGAGGGTAGGAACGTCCGGTAAATCGAGAGCTTTTGCTTCTGACTCAGCTTTCTCTTCCCCACGACAGACCGGTACAACGCCCGCATCACTGCAGACGCAGCACCAATCAGTCTATCGATCTCACGCCACATCCTTCCCTCACTCGTGAACAAGACCCCGAGATACTTAAACTCCTCCACTTGGGGCAGGACCTCATCCCTGACCCGGAGAAGTCATTCTACCCTTTTCAGACTCAAGACCGTGGTCTCGGATTTAGAGGAGCTGCTTCTCATGCCAGCTGCTTCACACTCGGCTGTGAACCACTCCAGCGAAAGACAGAGATGACCATAATAATAATAACTGCTATTATAATTATTTTTCATTTTTTGTTACCTGACATTATACACTAAAATTAATACAAAATGTAAAAAATTCATAAAACTCCTGAACGCAATTTTGATCAAATTTGGTTTTTGTTTACAGTTTATTTGAGGTTGAGTGATTTAAAACTTTAAGCTGTGTGTGTGTGTGTGTGTGTGTGTGTGTGTGTGTGTGTGTGTGTGTGTGTGTGTGTGTGTGTGTGTGTGTGTGTGTGCTGCATGTCTCAGAGGGGAAACAGGCCCTTCTGGATGATTACATTGCCAGCAGTACGAAGAGACGAGGTCTTCTGGAGAGCAGATATGGCCGACGACTGCTTCTGTCCATGGAGACGAATCTGTGTGAAGAGTGGAAATCTACCAACACCAGACCTTGTCCCCACTGCTTCTGCCCAATAGAGGTCGGTTGGTGCACAGATAAATCATTGGCGTTTTATTGATGCTTTGCCCATATGATTGTGTGTGTGTGTGTGTGTGTGTGTGTGTGTGTTACAGAAGAACGGTGGATGTTTCATGATGTGGTGCACTCAATGTCAGCAGCAGTTCATGTGGCTCTGACTCAGTAAACTGGATTAACCGTCCCAGCAGGGTGATATCATCACTTGGGGTCCACGTGGCGGGGTGAGGTGGTGCTCACTCCTCAGCAAAATAAAAATAAAAAAACACGTGGGGTCCATTAGGAACACAGAATGGTTAAGAAACTCCTTCCAGACTTCAGAGGCAATAGAGACAAACTCCACGTGTGATTTTAAAATCTTAAACCATACATCTAAACTTTACTTTGGGGACAGTGCAATAAAAATGAGTGTTTAAAGCAAAACATAAGCGCGTGTCCTAAACAGGATTTAGATTTGTGCACTATATTTAATAAATGTATTTATTTATGCCACATGGATTCACAAGAAACCGTGTCATCAGTAAAAGCTGCTGCGCCTGAACAAGTGGTGCTGGGGCCTCGTTCATCAAATGTTTGTAGAAAAACGACTAAATTCCTATGAATGAAATTCTGAATGTTCGTACGAACAGTAAAAATCCTGATTTATGAAACACGTGGTGGTGTCATGTACACACGTTCCTCCGCACTCAATCCCACCTGTGTGTCTCCAGGTTCTCGTGTTCGTTCTCAGTCATTTACATGCAGGAACACCCTCAACTAACCAGATTTGGTCACGCAACGTCCTCAGCTCGTGAGGGGATTCCCTGGGTTCTACCCGGAAAAAAGAAAGAAAACCCCATAACATCCCAAACCTTTATAGAAACCAGGTTGTGCCACCATGGGTGCTTTATTATTTATAATTACACATAATTATTGTTGTTTTCTGAAGATATTCATGGCTTTGAGCAATGAGTCTTGATTAACTTGGCTACAGGGATTAAAAAAGAAATCTCAGCTTCATGTTTCTTTTAATTTGAACTTTTTAGGTTTACAGGAATTGATTTAATTTGTGTTCTGGAATGATTTGTTAACTGGTGACGTTAAGGTGACCAGTGAGCATCATGGGTTCTACGCTAATTTTTAATTACACTGAGGGTGCAAAATTGTGCTTTTTATTGTAACGAGTTCTAGGACACTGTACTTGCACTTTATTGGGGTTCAGTTTTTTTTTTTTTACTTTGGGTTCAGGGGACGTTTTGAATTGTTCATTAAAGAGCAAGTCACCCCCTACCAGATTCTTACTCAACTCCCACTTCCTGTTTGGAAAATGCAACAAATGCTGTTGCTAAGCAGACCAAGAGGGCAGAGCCACACACACACACACACACACACACACACACACACACAGGCTCACAACGACATTGTGGCATCATATGGTACCAGCTAATGTTCTAGGGTACCTCTTAGCCAATAGCGATGGCAGATTTAAATTCAAATGCAGTGCAGAGTTTTTACCTGACAACGGCACAACACTGACAGTTTTAGGCAGAAAATAAAAATTTTAACTAAAATGCACTAAAGTGCAGAACTATTGACATGTGTCTGCAGCACGATTAGACACACATTTATATAGTTTATCAGAAAAAAATGATTTGGGGGTGACTTGCTCTTCAAATGCTAATCAATGATTACAAATCTGCAGCAATAAAGGAGCAATAGGTACAAATTCAACAATAAAATAATCACAAAACGGACAAATATCTCCATGCTGGAAAGAAGGTTATACTGAAACAGATTTCCTTCTCAGCCTGCTGGGGGTTGTCCATTTTTCCCTTTCAAAATGGTGAAATGGGCACCTAGACTGTGGGTTTGTGAGGATGCCGTGTCTCCAGCTAGCTAATGCTGCAGCGCCAGCAATTGTAATTCGATGCTGGGAGGCAAAATGCTCTAGATTTGTTTAAAGAACCAAAGTCAGTAAACAAGAGCAACCCAGAAGTTCTAAGAAGCTACAGCATCTTTTTGTTTTATTCTAATATCAGGTGAAGCAGTCTAGAGGCTAATGTTAAGGTATCATTAAGCTAACAATGCCAACGGTTAAAGATGAAGCAAGTAGTCGGCTCTAAAAAATCAAAAACAACTCATTATCGCAGTGAAATGTGAGGTTAATGAGTCAATCGTGGCTTTTTTTAATGAGTCGTTCAAAACTATAACAGAAAGATGGTAAACCACACTTCCTTCCATGCAGAAGAAATTTTACTGCAATAAGTGTAGTACATGCCCCCTACCATAAAACACCCAAGAGTGCCAACACCAGATATGACAATGTATTCCTCTAATTATCAACTTGGTGTGTATGACTTGATTTGCTTGTCATCTAGAATCCTCTGGTGCTCTTTTGTGTATTCCTACTGTGTGTTTCTACTGATTGCATTATTAAGCTCTTTTTAACAGGCCATTTTTTACCTTTTGGCTGACATTTTTGACCACTCCTGCGGTCTTCTTCAGAGCTAGATGCTAAAAGTGACGCCACCTTTAGCGGCTAGCTCTGAAGAAGACTGCAGGAGTGGTCGAAACTGTCTGCCAAAAGGTAAAAAATAACCTGTTAAAAATAACCTAATAATGCCATCTTCTGGTGCTGATCAATAACTGGAAACAACCATGAAACTCATGGAAAGACGGTGAAATTTTAGAAAAATGGGCTTCAGTAACCAGATTTGACCACAGGGTGTCATTCTCACTTAATTCTTACATATTGCACCTTTAACTACTAGAACAAGGTGTCCTTTAATTTAGTTAGACTGTTGGACTTACTGTACGCAGTAGACACTTTATGAAATTATGTTTGGCGTATTTAATGAAAAATAAAATCATGTTTAAATGTTAAGTGTTGCCACCTGTTTTTTGTGACTTATTAATAAGCATGCATCAGATAAACATTGTCTTAATTACTACCACTGGATGCTGTATTTATTAATTTTTGTTTATGTGAACCTATATTTCAAGAGTAAGGACTGGCTTATGCAGACAGAATCACAGATAAAATGCAAATACATTGAAACGCTGTCAGAATTTTACATTTTGATCATAAATCATCATGTTTTACAGCATAATGACCAACAGGTGGCACTAAATAACAAAAATCACAGTTTTTGGGGATATATCTTGATTCATAAAAGTTTTTTTCTAAAGTGTTTTGGTCTGTAAAATTAACAAGTAGCCCTTTTAATTCTGGGATTAAATGCTCAAATGCATTATTGTATGCAGGAACTTTTAATAGTTACTAATATAGTAGAGGTTGGTAACAATAATGCATTTCTTAAATACTCTTAAGCTTTTTTAAAAATAATTCTTGAGCATTTAAGCTTTGCAACAATTTATTATTGTGATTTTGCAACGCAAGTTTTTAAAACAATTTAATGCACAGACATGTGTGGCTGCAAAGAGCAAAAGATGCCTGAAGTGACTTAACTGTCCGCATGTTTGGCAGAGGAACTTCCTGTTTTCAACACAATCCCTCTCCCTTTTCCATTCTAGTCTGTGAAAACAGTGGGGCTCAGATTCTTGCTGTGTGTCCCCAGAGCATGATTGGAAGCTGTCCCTCATAAACCAGTGTGCTGTTGCTCCTGCGTCTCTTCCAGGACTAAAATCAAGTCCTGTTTCCGCAAGGGTCATAACTTCCTCAAAAATGTCTAAACAAGTGCTTGCTCTGCTGACCCGCAGAGCCATAATGGGGCTCAGAGGGATTTAGCAAGGGCAGGATTTGTGTTTACGTTTGGAAAGCTTCTATCTGGTTTATGTGATCATGATAAACCCACTTAAAGGTTCAAATACAGAAAACTAGTAAATAATACAGTTTTTGCAGATGGAGAGGACAGTTTCATTCCAGGACAGAAAAGTGTCCACCTACGGTTGTACTGATTTAGCTTTTAGCTATTTTTTCTGTGCAGATGCAGCACCTGTCCAGCCTTGAGTTAAGTGCCTTTTTTTTTGTTTGTTTTGCTTGAATCATGCAACAGAACAGGGTTTGGACTGGAATTATTGTAGCGTGACTCGGGTTGCGAATGACCACAGTCACCAATTCCTGATCTCAGAATTGTGTGTACTGAAACTCTAATTTCCCTCTGGGATTGATAAAGTATTGTTGAATTGAATTGAATTAGCAGCTTCATTCTGAAAAGAACCTTCAAAGAGCCTGAAAAACTAGTAAAAACCAATTTATCATCGTGAATGGTTGACCAAAAAAATTCCATAAAAGGTTGAATCCTGGTGAAAACGGCTAAATCAGAATTGATACGATTCTCTGAGATATTCTGCTGACAGATAAACAGAACATGAAGGATAATGGGTCATGGAGCATTTTGAAGTGATGCTACGGAGAGAGTCCTCCATTTTGAACCAACAACTGCATCAGCTAACGGAGCGTTTATTTCCCCTGGAGCGCCGTGAGCCGAGCCGTAGAGGAGAACAGATGAGACACTCGTTCGCCGTAATAATCACAAACACAGTTCAGTTGTTATCATCTGCATGTTTATTCATCCGTCAGAAAGCACAAACATACAGAGAAATCAGCATCGGCTGTGTAGCCATCCATCCACACGGTAAAATTTTGTTTGTTACGTTGTTCAGAGGCACTAAAAAGTGTGCTGAGGTTTGTACAAAGATCCCAGGAGTAGCTGTATGCTGTCCTTCAGGGGCGCTGCAAGAAAGTCCAGGGCCCCTGGTGTAAATAAAGGTGGGAGGTTCTGATTTCTGATACGCATGCTTGATGATGTTGCATGGTTTTGATTAATGTTTCCATAAGTAGGATACAAAGTCAAATTAGTGGGCACGCATACCAATAAATAAATAAAAAAAGATTTGAATCAGATTAGATTAATGGATATTACCAGAAAATCTACAACAGATAATGTTTACCTTTCTGTAAAACGGCTATCAGCTCCATTATTTATTTATTTATTTATTTATTTATTTTTGCAAGTTTCCACATTTTTGGGAAAAACCTAAAGCTAACAGGTTCTGCTAGGTCACTTCAAGAGGTCCGAGGAGTTAATGGTCTTTCTACTGATGATCACTGGCCAGGAATCTAGACCAACCGTTGCGGTTGCAGGTCTGCTCTGCAGGTCAATTTAGCTGACCTTCTCAGTGGCCTAGTGCTGGAGTGTCCGCCCTGAGACTGGGAGATTGGGGTTCAAATCCCAGTCTGGTCATCCCAAAGACTTTGCCTCCCTGCTTGACACTCAGCTTTAAAGGATCGGATTGGGGGGTTAAACCACCCAATAGTTGCAGCTCACCGTGCCCCACAGGGATGTGGTGACTGTAATTCACACCAGTGTGTGGTGATGACTTTAACTTTAACTAGCTGCTAGCCTCAGCAGGTCTACCATCAAACCAGTTTTGTGTCTTGCCAATCACAACGCTCTAAATATGTTAGGTGAGCTAAACGCTAGAGCTGCGACAAAGAAAAACTACAGAGATGGCACCGATGGCAAGTTGTTTCGAATGAGCGGCGTTCCAGAGCCGCCACCATTTTTGTTGTTTTGCTCCATCATAGCTCTGCCATCATCATAAAAAACGCTCTGCTGTGATTGGACAGGCCTAAAATTTGGGTCAATGGTAGACCTGCGCAGGCTACAATGGATCGTGGCTAGACGGATCTGCAGAGCAACATCTTTTGCTACTGCTACGGTTTGTTTGAGATTTCTTGGCTTGTACATGCCTCAAATAGAAGACTGGAGATATATTAAGAATTTTCTTGTCAGGGCAACATATAAAAAACACAAAAATGAAATAAGTTTGAGCTGTTTGAGGCTCAACCTCTGGCAACAAATTCAAGGATGCCCGTATTTTGAAATTAACCTCTGATTGTTGCCCAGCTGCAGTCATCAGATTCGTTTAGCATTATGGTGCATGGATAAATGAACAAGTATAATACACAGATCAAACTTCTTGGAAAATACTAAGAGGTATATAAGGATAGCAAAGTGTTCACTTGAACCCAACAACACAGAACAGAATACTTAAATGTTCAAACACCAATGCCCTTTTAAAAGTCGGTGAAAATGAGAATTTTCTGCCTTCTTCTGGTGTCAACACATGCCAGCGATCATCGAGTCAACGGGGACTCACTCTGACACGAGATACTAAATATCAAGCAGTCACTCTTAAATGTGTTTCTTCATTTAACGTTGATCAAAACATCATTAAGGAGCATCATCAAACTTCCTCTCAGCAGACATTAGTAACTTGGGACTCATGCATTAAAATAACAATTCAAATGGTGCAACAATTTCCAACAAAACACAAAGTTTAGCTTTAATAACAGTGATTACTTTTTTTATATTAATACTTCTATTCTAATTACTCTCCAACCAGAAAATGAACATTCAAATCAAAACATTTCATAAGCATCTAATAAACTACAATCATGAGGATTTATTTATATTCTCCTTTATTCTAAGAGTTTGAAACATTTCTGGACGTTTTTCAGTGCAGTTACATTTCACTGCCACGAAGCAGCATCAGCACTTTGTTGATGTGGCGTTTTAGCTCGTTAGCGACAAACTGTGGTTATTTTTCTTCCAGGCTCATTAATCTTTCTTTTAATAGCACTTGATAGTCATGGGGCTCTTTTATAAATCAGTTTAGTGACAAATTAATAATGAAAATTAAGAGTTGTGCAAACATTTGCTTGTACTTTTTTTTAAGAATGACTGTTTTTGTTCTTTTGTGAATACAATAAATTTACATCAGTAGTGTATGTGCCTGTGTAAACTCTAAAATCTCAACATGCCCTTAAACATCCACTCACTCTTTCATGACACACAGGCGTAGAAGTAAAAACATGCTTAACCTGAACCTTGAATGTAATCAACCATTATTTTTGTTTTGTTGTTTTCTTATGGAATATTAGATCATTTCATACTTTTTGCCTTTCCTTTCAATTATAATTTGCGTTGGAAGCATGTGCACTGATGCAAATTTTATTTGTACCCATTTTCCGTGAGCTGGGCCCGTGGTTTTGATCAGAGCTAGAATATTTATTTCACTCATAATCTGAGGATTTTATTTTAATCAATGCAACAAATAAACACAAGTGACATGTGATATACATTGTGTCTCTCATCCAGTAAAAGGTAAATAATCTGTATTTTTATTGTAAATGCCCGTTGTGTCCATAAGGTCCAAGAAATCTGTCTTTGGTTAAACTGCACATAACTCATGTTAATATTATGGCTATAACCTGTAAGGACAGCTCTAAATGAAATAATTAAGTTTTAGTGACAAAACATACTCTAGTAGAAGGTCCAGATGTCATTTTAAACAGAATCAAAGGGTTTTCAGAAAGCTGTCGTTTGAGTTTGGCTTGTCACTTTCAGCATTCCCTCATCCCCACCTTTTCTCTGCAGTTTATTTATTTTTTTAATTCCCAAACCTGTGCTGCCTGTTCAGTAGCTTCACTGGGTGTGAAAATCATTTTCAATTCAAGATTCTGTCAACAAAATTTTAAAAAAGTTATGCTACCAGAGCTTTCCGGAGAGACAAAAGAGTTATTTTTAGGAGGAGTGCTTTCAAAAGATTGCTACTCGAACATAAAAACAAAAAACCTTCACTAGCCGTGTCTCACCCACACTTTGGGTTGCAGCTGTGCTTTCATCAGCTCATCGTTGTTCCGTTTTGATTAAACACTTTCTTTGTCTCTTCCCTCCTCGTAGCTGAAATCCCTCAAACTGTGTTTTCCTGACAGCATTATTCTCCTGAGTACCTTGTGGTCAGGTGTGCGTTTGAGCTCAAATAAAAGAACAGTCGCCGCTCCCTACGGCAAACTCAAAAAGATGCTTTCTTTTTCACTTTTCAACACATCGGTGCGATTTTGACAGTTTTCTTCCCATGCACATATTTAATAGAACTATTGTTTTAAGTAAATGAAAAATATTAAAGGGTGTCTTATTACAATTTAACCTGTACCCAACCGGCGTGCATAGGTGGGCCCCGTATGGATATATATAGGCAAACCGTATAGGTGCCAACAGGGTTTGTCCATGGTTTCCATGATGGCTCCACAGGGGGTTGCCCACATAAATTTCAACAGACCTGCATGGGTTTTCAGAGGGACCCAGATGGTAGGACTCATACATAAAGTCTTTGTGGGAAAATCCCGGTGGGATCACATGGAAACCGCATGCAAACCCTGTTGGCACCCATATGGTTTGCCCATATATATCTATATGGGACCCACTTAGGCATCTTGGCTGGATATCAGTGTGCAAACAAATTAAGTAATTGATTATTTTAAAAATATTATTCATTAAAGGTACAATATGTAAGAGTTGTGAAACAGTGAAATAATCACACAACAGTCTAATGTTTATAGAGAGCCTAAGTCTCCTCCCTTTCCGGTCGGCTCACGGGTCCCCGGAAGAACGGAAAAATTAATGCAAGTCAACGGGGCTAAAAACGCTATTTTCTAATCTGCTTTGCCTTACGCCCTGGATCACACATATGTTGTACTGCAATTTAAATGAAAACCAATGATGGGTGTTTCGACCATGCATGCCATGCACTTTGAGATATATCAGCTTGTAAAAGTTGGTAATTAGCACGACTACAAACAAAACATCGGCACGTCCCATATGTGACATCACCACAGGATCTCCTCTCCCTTAGCTTAGCTGCTACTTACCACTTGGCCAGTTTTATGGTGGTTCTTTCCTTCTGAAGGAAGGATTTGAAGTTTGCTGAACTTACAGCCCTTTTCCCTGTGTTTTCTCCGTGTCTGGTTCGATGACGTCACTTTCGTGAAGCGCATTTCTAGTTCTGGACTTATTTTCACACAAAACCTAAAATAGCGCTTTCTTGATATCAAAATACTTCTATGAAACTAACGGACGTCATATGTGAAATCCATAGCACATAACAGGTGGAATTAGAAAATTGAGTTTTTAGCCCCATTGACTTGCATTCATTTTTTCGTTGTTGGTTTTCCTCTTTCAACATGCCTAAAGAGGGACATAGTCGTTGTTACAATCTTGGAGCAAGCAGGATTGTGAAGTCTGCATCGAGCTTTTGCTGCAGTGCCGGCATTTGTAATTCAACACTGGCAGGCAAAAAGCTCCAGAGTTGTTTAAAGAACCAAAGCAAGTCAACAGGAGCGACCCAGAAGTTTTTTCCAGTTTAGAAAATTGGACTGCAGTACCAACATTTGACCACAGGATGTCACTCTCACATCATTCTTACATAATTCACCTTTTGTACAATGGTGTGTTTTGGCACTGATAGAATAACTCAGTCCATCAGTGCAACAAGACCTGGTCATTCTGTCTTCTCTGGGAATCAGTGTTGACTAAACAAATAACAAATGCAAACATTTAGAGATATCCATGGGCTTTGCTATTTTTAAAGTAATTTAAAGTTTTGGAGTTGAATGGGTTTGACTGTGGAGGTGGACTTGTGGAAATGTTTAGTTGATTCAGGTCGTACCTGAATCAGAAATGGTTTCGCTTCAGAGGCAGCCTCTTCTGCCTCATGCAGACATAATGAGGGAGCAAGCAGTTTTCAGTTAAACGCTGATGGGACCAGAGGTAATTCAAAATAGTGAGAAGGGTCAACTGAAAGCAACACTAAACATATGTGCTGAGACTCAAGTCCCTTTGCAGGATTCCTGATAACTATTAAAACAATTATAAGATCTTATATTAGATAAAGAGACTAACGTGAATCAAAACCTATTTATTATATTATATGTACAAGTGTAATATGATTCAGTAATATTTACATAATATTTATAGTATTTATTATGAGAATCACCTTTTCAGATCTAATTCACCTAAATTGCAAAAAATGGTTGACCAAGGCCTGTGGCCAAATTACTCGCCAAAGCTCACAGTTTCATTTAACACTGGTATAGTTTTTTTTCAAGCACTTTAAAACAATATTTATATAAGTATAAAGTCTTCGTCTATTGTGCTTTGTCTTTTTTCTAAAATTAGCTAGAAGTACTTTGGATTTCTTTCTTTTTTAGCCTTAGCTATGTTTTAAATGCTTAATTAGCTCCTCTGTGTGGGTTTCAGTCAATATGCTTGGCTATGCAGGACCTGTAGAAAAATACTTGCAGTGCCGTTGTCGGTACAAGATCTGCTCGGGTGCAAGATCGGCTCGGGGTCCGTCGACTGCCGATGACATCAAAGTAGATGATTGGCTGAACATGAATCTTACGGAAGTTACATAATCACGTTACGTTGTTATCACGTTCCATCATTGCCTCTTTGAAAATACACTTTTAGCACAGAGCTGCATGTATATTAGGGCTGAACGATTAACTGCATGTGCAATTAAATTGCGATGTGACAAAAGGAGATTTTCTAATCGCAAAGGCTGCAATTTGGCAGCGAGTGGTTAGCGCAATGCTAATATACATGGAAAAACCCATAGGAATGCTAATGCTAATATCACAGATTACATTCTTACAAATTATGAAGTAGAAACGTGCCAAATGATTACATTTGGAGTCTAATAGAAAGTAAAACTACCATCAATCAAATAATTAAAGACAGAGTTTTGGCTAGCAGCTATGAGCGTAACTGAACTACACATGGACAAGACGTCAAAAACTCTAAACACAAAATACTTCAATAAACAGGACACACTTCTTTCCTGCAAATACAATTTCACAGGTGTTGCTAATACCTATGATCCTTCAAGGGATGTGCTCAAAGAGGAGTTCAACATTATGAATACAAAATAGTGTTTTATTTTACAAATACCATTATAAACACAAACTTACGTCTTAAGAAACATTATTTTAATAACGAAACTGCTAAATTTTCCAACAGTATAAAGATGTGTAGTGTATTTTGTCTGAGTGGGTTTGCCATACTTTGACGTCATCGTCAGTCGAAGGACCCCGAGCCGATCTTGCACCCGAGCAGATCCTGTACCGACACCATTTCATACACAACAAATTTAAAAGGTGTCCTTTGATTGCTTTTTTCCCTACATTCTCACTCCTTCCTGCAGTTCCTTTCCTACAAATGCTTCCTGTGGACCACTAGCCCTCTTCAGATTTCCAAATCAAAACAAGATTTTCTTTTTTTTCTTCCTTTAAAACCTGAGTCAGAATGAAACGAACACGGCGATTTGAAGGAGAGTAAACCAGAAACAGTCTGTGTGTTTCATTCAGTACCAAGAAGAGACTTTTTTCTATCTATTTGATAAAAAATGATTTTCAATAAGTTATTTTCAGCAGCAAGTCTAAATGAAGTCAGTACAGTACACATATAGAGCAGAGTAGAACTGGACGGTCCATCAGAGCAACTGTTAAAGTAAATCGATCTACCGTTGGGCTACAGTTACATATTTAAATGTTTGTGTTTTCATGTTGGATCCACATAATAAACAAGAATTAATGGCTTCTTTGAGGGTAAAAATTCACCCTTAATAAGTCCCTCAGTCATAAGGCAAATTTTACATCCACTGGCTCTGGTGACTGAACCATCCACCTCTTGTCCCTCCCCCCTTAGCTGTAGCCAAGGTTCTCCATCTCATGGCGATATCTTAGCTCTGAGACTTTGGCTTTGTGCTGTTTGCTCTCCAGATGCTGCCTGAAGTCCGTCTCCTGCTCGGCTCCACAGTTGCACATGGAGCAGTAGAACTGTCCACTGGGAGTCACGCACATGGCCAAGTCCCTGGGGATGCGCTGCCTCGGTCTGGGGTTGTAGTAAGGCCCTGGGGGGGACAGACGGGAGAGGAGCTATAAGGACGCTGCATTACTGAGCTAAAAGTGGAAAAAAAACAAAGAAGAAAAGGAAAACTGGTGCAAAAGCCATTTGTAGCAGAGGCATATCAACCTTAGTGTAAGAAAATTGAACTTACCACAAAAACAACTATACTAACTGCCTGGCAGTAAATCTTATATTATTACAGATCTTGATTAGTCACCTGACCCACCATACTGTGCATCTGTGGAGGAAGCAGCACAGCTAAATGTGAGGGTGGAGTTGGGTGGTGGGCAAACTCCATTCATTTCAAGTTTATTCATAAAGCTACAAATCACAACAAGAGTCATCTCAAGGCACTTCACACAATAAACATTCCAGAGCAGTTCAGGTCATTAAGCCAATCAGTAAAAAGTTTCCCAAATAAGGAACCCAGCAGGTTGCATCGAGTCACTGACTAGTGTCAAGAGTCTTTACAGCAATCCTCATACTAAGAAAGCATGTAGCGACAGTGGAGAGGAAAACTCCCTTTTAACAGGAAGAAACCTCCTGGCTCAGTATAAGCAGCCATACACCAGGACTCACTGGGGATGGAGAAGACAGAGCAGACACATAAAGGAGTCCGGTTTCTCTGTTTTATTGCAGTTTGCATGGGATTTCGAATACGACTCCACACTTTTGTCCTGCTGATATCTTGTCTTACGGGTTTACTAGTCTTTTTCTGACTGTTATGTATGGTGCTGTTGGTGTGTTTATTTGTTGTTTTTTATTGCTGTTGTTATTTTTCTGCTATGCCCTTGGTGTGTGGAAGTGTTATCACTGGTTTTGGTTTGTGTTTCTCTGGTTTTTTTGGTTCTTTGTTTTGTTTCATCTTTTCTTTTCACTGCTACTTGTTGTTTTCCTTTGTTTATAGCCATTGTCGAGTATCCGCAGGTTTTTAAAGTGTTTCGTATGTGTGGTCGTGGTCGTGTTCTTCTGTTATCATGTTTACTCTGTGGTATACTGACATTTTATGTATGGTGGGATGATCTGATGTCCATAATAAACATCGGTCTAGTTGTGTTGGTTTCCTGTATGTGTTTATATTCACAGTCTTGTCTGAAAGTTACGCTGCTTTCATTTTCTTCTTCTTACATGAATTTCATGTTATTGGTTTCTTCTATATTGTTCAGGTGTTCCTTTAGTAAATCTGCTTGTTCTTTCTGAATAATTTCTAATATGTCATCTACATATCCTTACCAATCATCCATCCATTTTCTTCCGCTTATCCGGAGTCGAGAGGCCCAGACTTCCCTCTCCCCAGCCACTTGGGCCAGCTCCTCTGGGGTGGATCCTAAGACTTTCCCTAGCCAGCCAAGAGACACAGTCCCTCCAGCGTATTCTGGGTCTCCTTCACCTGGGAGGCATCGAGGAGGCATCCTTACTAGATGCCCGAGCCACCTCAACTGACTACTCTATGTGGAGGAGCAGCGGGTCTACTCCGATTCTAAGGGAGAACACTTATTTGGGCCGCTTGTATCCGCAATCTCGTTCTTTTGGTCACTCCCCCAGCTCGTGACCATAGGTGAGGGTAGGAACGTAGATCGACTGGTAAATCAAGAGCTTTGCCTTCCAGCTCAGCTGTCTCTTCACCACATCAGCATTACTGCAGACGCAGCACCAATCCGCCTGTCGATCTCCTGCTCCATCTTTCCCTCACTCACGAACAAGACCCCAAGATACTCAAACTCCTCCACTTGGGGCAAAACCTCATCCCTGACCAAGAGACGGCATTCTACCTTTTTCCAACTCGGACTACGTATCGTTTCCATGATTTTATTATGCACTCGGGGGAGGGAGCAGGATTAGGGAAGTGGTTGTTGGTTTCTGCTCCAAGTCCTCCATGAAAAATTCACAAAGAGTTACTGATAACGAATTTACCATGGCAAAGCCTTCGGGTTGTTTTCAAATGGTTCCATCATATTTGAAATATGTAGGGTTTGCCATCTGTTCTAGTAATTGGGCTTTATCGTCTGCTGTGAGGTTTGTTCTATGTAGATTTTTGTCTTGTCTGAATTTGTCAATTACTACGTTGATGTTTTTTTGGGTTGGTGTTTTAGTGAACATGTGGAATTGGTGGAGGGCACGGGCAGCAAAGAGCAACATCGTTCTCTGCTACCTGCAGATAAATGGAGATGGAAGTGACGCCACCAACATCGGCGAAACTCTGAAGAAGATTACAGATGCAGCTGAAACTTGACAGCAAAGAAGGTAAAAACAAATCTCTACTACTCTGTGTTCAGAAAAGAACCAAATAACGGAATTGGATAACCAACACAGAACTAACTTAACAAAGATAGCCAGTGAATGATGAATCATCTGGTGTTGACTTGTTGGTATGGGAGGCCCCAAAGAAAAACCTGCTTAGGGCCCCACAAAGGCTTGGGCCGGCCCTGCAAGAATAACAAAAGTGAACAAAAAACGTCCAGCTGCATTTAACTGAGTTTTTAGGTTGAATTCAGTGACTGTTGCCAAACCTCATTAAAGGTTTGACACGTCCAAGGCCAGATTTTGAAAATTACTGCAAAAAATACATATTGGGCCAAATGTGTCACCTAATCTGAAATAATGATCCAAAACAAGAAAGTGAGGCTTAAAAAAGCCTTTGGGATGACATCAAGGCGGAATAAGGGACCAAAGGCCTTGCTTGGTTGTCAAACTGCAGAAAAATGAGGAGCACTGAAAAAGAGATTATAAAAAAGAAAAAAGCTTTTGAAGAGGAACTGCAGGCAAGAGGGCAGCTATTTTAGGGCTTGTCCGTCAGAAAAACTGATGACACGAGCTGCTGTTTGAAACGAAGCAGAAAGAGACAGAATGGGCAATTTGACTTTTCATTGAGTGATTCTTTTTAATCGTCATCTGAATTGGTAATGATTTTATCTGAAAGGCAGAGAAGGAGTAAGACACGACAAGAAGGGCAATGACTGACGTCAGTAGAAGATCTGACGTTACTTAAGCTGTATCTGTTTACACACACACACACACACACACACACACACACACACACACACACACACACACACACACACACACACACACACACACACACACACAAGAGTTGGAAAGCAGACACACCAAAAATGGCTACTAGCTGCTGACTCAAGCAAACAAAAATGAGGTTATTGTAAATAATCACTGATGATTTGCCAAATCTAAACATTTATAGAAGCTGTTTTTTTACACTAACTTTAAAAAAAATATGCATTTCATGTCACAATGACCTTTTTCCTACTCTCTGCATCCCGAAGACAAATAAAATGTCAGTAAGAAAAGCCGACACAACACCCGACCCCCAGTGGGCACAAAGAGATGACTTGGTGTATTTGTGGATACGTCACATTTAGTGCAATAAAAGACTGAGACACGAAAGGTCAAATAGAAAGGAAAAATAAGTGCCTGTCAAATCACCCGCTGCAAAACTGTAACTTTGTCTTGATTGAAAAAGTTTTATTTGTCATTTGAAATGTTTTCTTTACCTGGCATGGCAGCAGAAAGCTGTGGGCTGCGGCGATTTTTCACCAGACGGTATTCACTGCCATCTTTCCTGTTTTTCCTCGTTGCTGCGTCATTGCCGCCTTCCCTGGTTAAATAAAACCACTTATAACATTAACGATATTAAAAGACACACATATGTAAATGTTACATTTTTTAGGTTAGTTTTTTCTTGGTGCAAATGGACAGCAGTCACAGAAAAGAAAGAAAGGTAAGATTACCAGTAAATAATTATTAGAAAATACCTTCAATTATGTAAACACGTTGATTTGGTTTAAATGGACTCAGAGAATCCCAATAATTTGGTTACTTGAGGCTAAAGGTTGAATATGGAGCACAGGCACTATAGTGACATCTAGTGTTTAGAGGTGGTAGTGCAACAACAGAGCACATTTTCCAGCCAGTTGGTTCACTACTGATATGTGAAATGACCACCATCCATGTCCAGTGACAGATTGTACAGGGTAAGGACTAATTTCTACTAATATGTCTATTTACAGCAGTATTTATCGCTGGAACATCTTTTACGCTCAGAATCAGCTGCTTGACTTAACCAGTCTGCCATTTTACACAGTCTCAGGCTGTTTTTCAACGCCAGGCGCCTTGTTTATGAGGACATTGTCCTTCCTTGGTCAAAGAAAACTGTTGAATGAAACAGACGTGACCACCGCGGCTTCTGCACAACACAGGAGGTAACGTTATAATTTATAGATTCAATAAAAACATATAATGATCCTTTTACTTTTTAAATTGTGTATATATTGGTTAAATTAAATATGTAAAGAGTTGCTACCTGCTAGCCACCAAAGCTGCAACTACTAAGCATCTAACCAACCACAGATAACTTCTTTAGACGTAAAAAAAATAATCTGGTAATCGGCCCGATAGCTACAATTAGTTGACTTACATTAACCCTCCCACTGTCTTCATGGGTGACCCCGCCAGGAAAGCTGACCATTGAGCAGGGTTAATGGTTTATCCCTTGAGGTCCACGTGGCAGGGGTGAGGTGGTGCTCCTCACCCCTGCCACGTGGACGCTCAGGCTGCTCTATGCTGAGGAGCACTGATTTATGGGAGGGGCTTAAAGTACAGCCGCTGGTTCTCATTTTATCATTTGTGACATCATAAACGGGGATTTTTGAAACTGCTTGTTTTAGGCACATAATTCCCAAAATCAAACACGGACAGAAATTGAATGGACGATTTTTTTTTGTTTTTTTACTTTACTAATTTGGAGTGTTTATAGAGGCAGTAGAGAACCACATGGCTGCACAAAAGGATGCAGACAGTGAGTTTTACATAATAAATCCCTTTTAAATGATAAAAAAAAACCTTTCCTTGCCATTAAGAGTCTTCCACTATTTTGCTAAGGCTTCTTTTCTGGTTTTTC